TACAGGACTCCAAGGCCGTCACCAATGAGTCGACAGCCAAGGTTGACGCCTTGATTGCGGAGAAGGCGGAAGAACAAGAGAGGCTACAACATGAGTGCCAGAGAATGTGGCTGGCGACCCCATATCAAATGGTCCTTGCTTATGAGGAAGCCAAGTAGAAGGCTAGGATATCGCTCTGCACGCTGTCTATGTTGACTTGGGCTTAGAGTTATTTCAAATGCACAGCGTCTTCGGGGAGCCTGGTGAAGAGATTCTTCTCGAGGAGCAGACTCAGTTCGAGCCCAGTCAAGTGGGGACCTATTACACTCAATGATGGCTCTGATCAGCCTTCTCCTATTCTCCCATCTTTCCCCCCATCAATCAAAGCTATGATCTCCCTCCTCCTTCGCCCCCAATCTTCACGGGGGCACATGACACCGAGCTTGACGAGATACTGGGCATTGGGGAGGAGTCATTAAGGTGGCATGGTCAACTCGACGGTGATAAAGCTGGTGGTGAAGAGTCTACAGACCCAGAAGGACTCGGGGGTTCTTAATTGTCTTGCTTGTACTCTATTTTTGTAAACGCTTCTTTGTATGCCTCGGGGGACGCAAAGCCCCCGTTTTGTCATTGAAAACTTCTTTCCCTGTATGTGTTCTTTCATTTTTTTTCTCTTATTGACTGCTCAAGGATCATACCATCTGATCTCGAAAAAACAGAACCGAAGTGACAAGTTAATAATGTCTTCCAGAAGTAGCATGAAAGAGGAAACCATAGGTAGTAAGAGAAGTTCTCAATAGGCAAAAAATGAGCCAACTTGTTTGTTTGGGTCTGGTATCCCTCAAGGTCGTGCCCCCAACAACCGAGCGTTTGGTTCGTGTTAACCATTCAAAGACGTTGCTCTAAGGGTGAAGTCTTACACCCCTCGGGCCCGTGCCCCTAACAACCGAGTGCTTAATTCGTGTTAATCATTCAAGGGCACTGCTCCAATGATGGAGTTTTAGATCCCTCAGGAGCGTGCCCCTAATGACCGAGCACTTGGCTCATATTAACCATTAGAGGGCACTGCTCCAAGGGTGGAGTCTTACACCCCTTAGGGTCATTTCGCTAACGACCGAGCGTTTGACTCATATTAAACATTCGAGAATACTGCTCTAAGGGTGGAGTCTTACACCCCTCGGAGTCGTGCCCCTAACAACCAAGCACTTAGCTCGTGTTAATCATTCAAACAAGGGCGAAGCCTAAGATCTAATTTAATAAAAGTATTTCTTCAAATTTGATACATTCCAAGGTTGGAATACATCATTACCATCCATATCCTGTAACCTATATGCGTCTGTACCCCCCACGACGATCACTTTGCAAAGGTCTTCCCAATTGGGACCAAGTTTCCCATCAGTGGGTTCTCGAGCAGTGCCCACCACTTTGCGTAACACCAAGTCTCCCACTTGAAAACTCCTTGGTTGGACCTTATTTTGGTGTTGTCTTAACAATTCCCCTTGGTACCTTGCCAGTTTGATAGACGACAGTGCTCTTCTTTCCTCAGCTAAATCGAGATCTCTAGCAAGCGTCTGATCATTGTTTTCCAACTCAAAGGCTTGGCGTCGTATCGTTGGGAAGTCCTACCTCCAATGGGATGACGACCTCAACCCCATATGTTATAGCGTACGGCGTTTCTCCTGTTAATGTCCTCGACGTAGTTCTATAAGCCCATAACACGTTGAGCAATTTCTCGGTCTATCTTCCATTTGCCTCCTCAAGTCTCTTCTTGATTCTAGCAAGCACTATTTTGTTGAAAACCTCTGCTTGTCCATTACTCTAAGGATAGGCTGGCGTGAAATAATAATTACATATCCCGAACCCTGAACAGAATTCTCTAAAGGGGCCACTGTTGAATTGAGTTCCGTTGTCAAAAACGATGGCCTAAGGGATTCCAAACCGAGTGATAATGTTCTGCCATACAAATTTCTTTGTTTCTACATCCCGAGTACGGCTCAGGGGCTCGGCCTCAATCCACTTGGTGAAGTAATCAATCGCCACCTGTAAGAATTTATTGCCCAACGAGGCCCTCGGGAGAGGTCCAATAATGTTCATTCCCCACTGAAAGAACGGTCAAGGACTCGTTAGTAAGTTCAAATCTCCCGCTAGTTGTCGGATGATGGGAGCAAATTTTTGGCATTTGTCACACTTTTGAACATAGCTCTTAGCATCCTTTTGCATATACAATCACCAATATCCTTGGGTTATTGCTCGATATGCGAGGGATCTTCCTTTTGTGTGGCTCCCAAACACACTCTCATGGATCTCATAGAGCAAAGGGTTCACCTTATCCTCGGGGACACAGAGTAAATGTGGTCCCGAAATCGATCTTCTGTATAGTTGACGGTCGACAGACATCCAGAACCAGGGAGCCTTAAGTTTGATCTTCCTAGCCTCTTTGATATCCTCAGGGAGCACTTCTTCTGTTAGGTATGCGATTATGGGGTTCATCTACCCCCGAGGGTGCTTGCACTTGAGTTGGCAGCACTTGTTCGGCCTTTATTTTTTCTATGCTCGAACTTTCCCAGTTTTCAATGATAATACGTCGAGTTACCCCTGAGGCCAATGCTGAAGCCAAACAGGCTAACGCGTTGGCGTGGGTGTTGTGACCTCTAAAAAATTGGGAGACTTTCACTTTTTCTAACTTCTCCATTTTGGATTTCGCTTTCTGATGGTATGCCTTCATCCTACTATCCCGAGCCTCAAAGTTGACGTTAATCTAGTTAACTACTAGCTGGGAATCGTAGAAACCTCGGAGGTGTCTAATCTCGACCAAGTATGAAATATCGAATCCTGCTAGCAGCGCCTCGTACTCAGCCTCATTATTAGATGCCTTAAACATTAATCTGATAGCTCGCTCTATGATGAATCCTCCTGAGCTGGCCAATACTACACCTATCCCTGCCCCTTTGTGTTCTAGGACCCATCAACATGAAGGTCCCAAACGTCATCATTAAAAGCTAGCATCTCTTATGGGTGCTCAGACGCAGAGAACTCAACAATGAAACACTCAAGTGTTCTGATCGGCACCTGACACCTACTATTAAGCGTTAAATGCTTGGGGGAACAATACCTCAGGATGTACCGAGGAGTTATTCTTGGCACCTCAGTCATTAATGTCTAGCCATCATGACTGCAGGCTTAAACTGTTGAGGGTGCAGAGGCTCATTAATGACAGTCTCCGTCACTCACATCACCATAAATGAGTAGTCAAATCACATTAAATGCGTGTGTTAGGTTATGTACTTGGCTCCTCTGAGCCGTTATCTCTCGGTTCCACTCCTCGGCATCCTTTGGGCTCCATAATAACTACAATTTTACACGTGTCGATCTGGGGACTGCTGAACCGCCTAGAGTCCCGCCACCTTTCTTTCAACATTCATGGGGTTCTATGCTTGTCTCCACTTGAAGACCACAGTGTAGTTGGCATTCTTTTTCCCCTGTCATGTCAGTCGATTCAATTGACGTCAGTGGAATCCAACAGTGACAGGTTAATGGTAGTCTTCGGGCCCGAGAGCGTTTCCTCTACTTGAACTATAACCGTTCCGGGGATGTTGTGTGATAGGTGGGTAATTGGATTTGTGATGGTATGGAAGAATTTTTTGGGTTGTTCTTCCAGGTCCAATTGTTTTCTCTTTTTTGCTTTCACTCTTATTTGAGTTAGAGTTTCTCTTCCATTCGGTTGTTGATTGGCTTGGCTGTTTAAAATCATAAAAGAAATTGCTATGCTCTTTTCATTAGTGATATGGTGAAATTTGACTAAGCACCGAAACGCCTGATTTTCATGTTCAACAATCTTAATGCTGCTTGTACCTACTACCTAAAGAGATGTATGGGTCTTACGCCCAATGGTTGTGAGCTTGATTAATGTATTGCTAGCCCTCAGTTTCTGTGATAGGTGCATGTAATAAATGTTGGGATTTACTACACTTTAAACCCACAAACAAACACACACAATCGAAAAAACAAGAAAGAACAAGACACATAGATTTTACATAGTTCGGTAATTTGTCTACATCGACGAAGCTACAGGAATTTTATTATTGAGAGAGATGAATACAGATGACGGCTATACAGTTTCAATAAAATCCTAAACACCAAAATAGCAATTTTTATATGTCTTACGCACCGGACTACAAAATAGGTCCAAACAATTTTCTCCAGGGTCGTTGCCCCCAGACCCCAAGTCTTCGCTCCATGGAACAAACTTTAGAAACATTCCCATTAAAAATCACGTAATATTATTTAGGATCGGGGTTATTATCCGAGTCAAACACACAAACTAGACTCCACAAAGACCCAACATCTAAATAACAGCACTTCAAAGCACAAGTTGCAACAAAGCAACCTGTCAAAGTATCATGCATCAAATACCCAGAAGCACAATACACGCCATCGAATGTTATAGATGCAAAACATTCTAACAAACCTCCCGACCACCCTGCCAGCAAAAGTATTAACCAATCACAAGAAATCGTAGGAAAAATAAGGAAAAGGGGAAGAAAGGTATAACCAACGTTGAGTGCATTCAACCCTCAGTATACATTCTAGTCCAGCAAGGAATAAATTTTGGCTATTCATTGAACTCCCCAGCACTTAAAGATGTAGATGTTTATTGCATTAAGCTTTAGATATCAAATTGTACAGAAATGGTTGACACATGTTGAAACACATTGCGCCTTCCCAGAAAATTCGGTCAGTTGAAGATCAGAAGGAGCCACCTGACTGCAAAAGCATTGAAAATAAATAAATAAAAATAGAATCCATAAAAGAAATGGGTTTAAACAGCCTGACTTTTTGAATATTAGTTGCCTTATGACCCCGTTCATTGTCTGGTTACACACAGGGCTATAGGAATTAGTCAGACAAGTAAAATATTCTAAGGTGAGAACTTTGTGGGAATTTGGGTTGTATATGGTACAGCGTAGCAGCTTCATTTTGTATAGTGATGATGCTTCAGCAGTCCACCCCCTTGTACAGACAGGGCAACTTTGGTTGCACGGCTTCCTCTTATTGAGATTTATTTTCTTAGGCTTGACTCATATTGAATAACTCTCCTATGATTCAAGCGCACCAAACTACTAAATAAAAAAGATCTGCACACAGGCCTTATAAAATTTTGTTATATTCAGGTCGGATTAACTATTTGGAGCTACTTTCCAGGAGAAGCCTATGGAATGACTTCAAAGCAAATGAATAGCATATTGAGGTTGGATCAGTCCTACCAAGCCCAGGCCACAAATAGATACTTGAGCTCCTCTGTGTCAGTTTACTCACGATAATAACCTCTATTTCCTTGTCAGATACTGGTGTACGTTTTGGCTGAAGAGAAGCCTTCCCTTCAACATCAGTGTTGACGGGTGCTGCTGGAACATCCGACTTTGATGTGAAACTCTGCTGAGCATTGCCATCTTTAGCTGCACCCTGAGTTTGGAATGGAGGACCTGCTGAACAATAATTACAATAGCTTATGCCCATAACATGCANGGGTTGTTCTTCCAGGTCCAATTGTTTTCTCTTTTTTGCTTTCACTCTTATTTGAGTTAGAGTTTCTCTTCCATTCGGTTGTTGATTGGCTTGGCTGTTTAAAATCATAAAAGAAATTGCTATGCTCTTTTCATTAGTGATATGGTGAAATTTGACTAAGCACCGAAACGCCTGACTTTCATGTTCAACAATCTTAATGCTGCTTGTACCTACTACCTAAAGAGATGTATGGGTCTTACGCCCAATGGTTGTGAGCTTGATTAATGTATTGCTAGCCCTCAGTTTCTGTGATAGGTGCATGTAATAAATGTTGGGATTTACTACACTTTAAACCCACAAACAAACACACACAATCGAAAAAACAAGAAAGAACAAGACACATAGATTTTACATAGTTCGGTAATTTGTCTACATCGACGAAGCTACAGGAATTTTATTATTGAGAGAGATGAATACAGATGACGGCTATACAGTTTCAATAAAATCCTAAACACCAAAATAGCAATTTTTATATGTCTTACGCACCGGACTACAAAATAGGTCCAAACAATTTTCTCCAGGGTCGTTGCCCCCAGACCCCAAGTCTTCGCTCCATGGAACAAACTTTAGAAACATTCCCATTAAAAATCACGTAATATTATTTAGGATCGGGGTTATTATCCGAGTCAAACACACAAACTAGACTCCACAAAGACCCAACATCTAAATAACAGCACTTCAAAGCACAAGTTGCAACAAAGCAACCTGTCAAAGTATCATGCATCAAATACCCAGAAGCACAATACACGCCATCGAATGTTATAGATGCAAAACATTCTAACAAACCTCCCGACCACCCTGCCAGCAAAAGTATTAACCAATCACAAGAAATCGTAGGAAAAATAAGGAAAAGGGGAAGAAAGGTATAACCAACGTTGAGTGCATTCAACCCTCAGTATACATTCTAGTCCAGCAAGGAATAAATTTTGGCTATTCATTGAACTCCCCAGCACTTAAAGATGTAGATGTTTATTGCATTAAGCTTTAGATATCAAATTGTACAGAAATGGTTGACACATGTTGAAACACATTGCGCCTTCCCAGAAAATTCGGTCAGTTGAAGATCAGAAGGAGCCACCTGACTGCAAAAGCATTGAAAATAAATAAATAAAAATAGAATCCATAAAAGAAATGGGTTTAAACAGCCTGACTTTTTGAATATTAGTTGCCTTATGACCCCGTTCATTGTCTGGTTACACACAGGGCTATAGGAATTAGTCAGACAAGTAAAATATTCTAAGGTGAGAACTTTGTGGGAATTTGGGTTGTATATGGTACAGCGTAGCAGCTTCATTTTGTATAGTGATGATGCTTCAGCAGTCCACCCCCTTGTACAGACAGGGCAACTTTGGTTGCACGGCTTCCTCTTATTGAGATTTATTTTCTTAGGCTTGACTCATATTGAATAACTCTCCTATGATTCAAGCGCACCAAACTACTAAATAAAAAAGATCTGCACACAGGCCTTATAAAATTTTGTTATATTCAGGTCGGATTAACTATTTGGAGCTACTTTCCAGGAGAAGCCTATGGAATGACTTCAAAGCAAATGAATAGCATATTGAGGTTGGATCAGTCCTACCAAGCCCAGGCCACAAATAGATACTTGAGCTCCTCTGTGTCAGTTTACTCACGATAATAACCTCTATTTCCTTGTCAGATACTGGTGTACGTTTTGGCTGAAGAGAAGCCTTCCCTTCAACATCAGTGTTGACGGGTGCTGCTGGAACATCCGACTCTGATGTGAAACTCTGCTGAGCATTGCCATCTATAGCTGCACCCTGGGTTTGGAATGGAGGACCTGCTGAACAATAATTACAATAGNACTCTTTGATGTCACATTATTTTTTTAAGTATGTCACACTATTTTTTAATCATGTCACTCTTTAATGTACGAATTCACTATTTTATGTCTTTTTTTTATATCACGCTATTTCTTAATTATGTCACTCTTTTATTTACGAACTCAAATTCATGATGGGGATTATTAAGTAAAATCATAACATTTTAATATAAAAAATAGTTGCTCTTGAAATCTAAATAGTTATTTTTTTTCCTGGAAATAATTTCAGTTGCACATTTTTATGAAAGGATTACATCAATTTAAAAGTTTTTCCCTCGAATGTTGTATAAGTATTCCGTGTTTGAATGAAACTCCGTTGAAATAACAACTCAATTAATGAATTAATTTTGCTTCTTAATTCGATTTAGCTAATTCAATAAATAGATAATTAAGAGTATTAGAGTCATTTTAATCCAAAAAGTACTTCTTAACAAAAAAATAATTAGTGATTGAATTTTTTGACAAATAAATTATTAAAAGTGTATCGGCCTACAAATATCCCACAATAAAATGGGTCGGCTATTGAGCCCAATTCCCACAACTGGACATAGAATATCCAATACAACTGAACCGGGCCTTGGAGTTGCAAATTTGATGGCGTTTTGCGCCACAATCCAGCACGACGCCGTTACGTACGCTTAGCGCCTCTCTTCCGAAGCTGGAGCGAGAAAGTAGTTCTGTTTTTCCAGAGAAGATAAGAGAGCGAAGAAGAAAGAAATGGCGATCAATCTTCGCCGCCTATTCACCTCTATAATCGAGCTATCCGAACCTCCAAGAGTATCGCTATCGTACGGCAGGCCCGAGTTTTGTTGCTCAACGAGTCGGCTCATTTACTCGTCGACTCAGCGAGAACAAACTCATCAAGAGAACCCTAACAAACAAGAGGGACAGGTCTTGGACCACCAAGAGAAGCTTGGAAGTGAAGAGGAGGACGTCAGCAACGGTGATGTTGAAGATGCGGATGACGAGGATGTGAATAAAGAAACCGGTGAGATCGGAGGTCCTAGAGGTCCCGAGCCTACCCGCTTTGGCGATTGGGAACGAAATGGTCGGTGCTCTGATTTTTGAGATTGGGCGGATTTACAACCGTGTTGATTGAAGAATGGACGAGAAGCTAAGAGGAGGTTAGGGTTTATTTTTTGTTATTAATAAAATCAGATTGATTTTGTTGGTTTTTAATCAAATAGGATAGGATGATTGTGTGCGATGTGATCATGTAGTAGTAGTAGTAGTATGTGGAGTTTGGTTTAATATTATTAGAGGAGAGGAGAGCATCTGATTACTGTTTGTTTGGATGTCCGAATTTAATTTAACAAATTTGCAATCATCCCTAATAATAAATGAAATGAACACCCAACCCAACCCAACCCATGTAGGTTATGTAGCAGGATTGAAGTTTTAGTTAGATGATGATTGCAAACAAAATGAATGAAACTAAATGCAGCCTCTAGTACGTTATTAATGTAAGCATGATGAATTGATAAGTGTCTACTCTACCCTACGACTACGTGTGTATCTTCTGATGATAATGATATTATATCATCTTCTTCTTCTTCTTCTTCCCATCAGATGCTTGAAACCCATCGCACCAACCACAAAACTCTATTATCCTGCAAGCTACCGATTGATGTTTCGCCTGACAAAAAACCACCCCATCGCTGATGTTCATGTAGCAGTAGCACTGACAGGATGGAGGGTCCCACTCCCACTCCCACTCCCACTCCCGCCCGGCTTAGTATAGTAGCAATTATTGATTTTAATCTATCTACTTGTTAGTCCACTCCATTATGGAGCGTATGAGTAATACAATCTAATTATGAGATTTAATGCATTATGAGCATTGAATTAGAGTGGGTCATAGCATTGCAAGGTATTAGATTCTAATATTAAGCAGAAGCAATATTATTATTATTATTATTATTACTGTAGGGATATCCATCCAAGAGATATTTATATGGATTGGGATGTATTGATTGATTAATTCTGTCTCCTATCGCCTCTCCTATCTATATATGAGATGCCCTTAAATCGAAGAGATTTATATATAGAGTAATACTAGAGATTTATTATTGGTTTGATGTGTTGACTTGCAAGCAAGACAACCGTTTACTATGACTTTCCGTAATGCAGCCGCCTTGGCAATGGCTGCCAATCAATGGTCCAAAATGAACCGGCATGACACAAGGGAGTATAACACCAATTTTAGTCATAATTGTTAATTATGGTCTAGAAACTATAGGTAGACTTTGTCATATAATATATACTTCTACTTCCCTTGGCAGCAGTATCAAAAGCTCCTCATAATCAAGAATACCAACTTGCTCAAAAAATGGATACCCACAAAATCATTGCCTCATTTCTCGTCTTCTCTTACTTTCTGTTTATGGTTTCAAGCGCAGATATTTGCTTTCACGCTGCTTGCTGTCCCAACGAGCCTGTCATTCGATTCCCTTTCTGGCTAGAAAAACAGCAACCAAAGCCGTGTGGCTATCCGGGTTTTGGCCTATTCTGTGACAGCACAACAAACCTAACAGTTCTTGAGCTACCAGTTTCAGGAAAATTTGTTGTCCAAGGTATAGACTATGCCTCACGAGAACTATGGATTAACGATCCACATGACTGTCTCCCTCAACGTCTTCTTTCCTTAAATCTTGCGGGTTCTCCATTTACTGGGGTGTATTATCAAGATATTACCTTGTTTAATTGCTCATTCGATTATACAAAGTATCGGTTAAATCCTATAGCTTGTCTTAGTGGTTCAACATACACGGTTTTTGCTACATCATCTGAGAGAGCAATGAGGGTCTTGTCGTCGACCTGCAGTTCAATATCAACGATTTCTGTCCCAGTGGAGTGGCCGTTTAATGAGCAGGTGTTGTCCTAGGATCTAAGTGATGATCTCCGGCTCACTTGGACTGCACTCCAGTGCGGAAGGTGCGAGTTGCAGGGTGGACACGGGTTGAAAAGTAACTCAGGCCAAGAAATTGAATGCAGAAATGTTCCTCAACATGGTGAGTTCTTTATTCTTAACATTGGTTTACTGTTTTATAGTTTACTTTGTGATAATCATCCTATTACGGCCTAGTCTTACGATGGTACAGTACTAGTAGTCACTTTCTGAAGGCTTGCAGTTCAAAATGCGTATACAACTGAGTGATTTTGATCCATTAATTATTGGGCTTTAATCAAGGTTAGGGCAGCAGTGAATCTTCTTAATTGGGGGTTCTACTGTTTCATTAGCTTGAGGTATTAAAATGCATAATATAGTGTCAAGAAATAAATAACAAAGAAGCTCTGGCCATGTAAAGAACCTAACTAAAATGATACAGATCAAGTCAAGATTTGAAGAGTAACAGGCGGCAGGCACAGCTTTCCCACAACAACTACTATTTCATATCAGCAGGCTTATGAAAATGTCTACAACAATTACTTGAGAGAGTCGGTCAGTCAGTCAGTCACCCACCTGTACGTCTAAGAGTTTTTATACAAAATATGGCATTTTGTCTTCATTCTCAAGTCTCTAGCTAGTTTAAGCCATAAAAATAATTTTTTTATATTTTTGTGTTGCATAAAATGTATTAAAATGTATTTATATTTTTAGATAAAATGTTGGAAGACGACTGAAAAATAGATAGGATAGGCTACTAACTTTATCATTTATTATTCAACCATGGTTGGTTTCCTACATTTATGTCGATTGCAGCCCAGAACAGTGTTGTGGTCCAAAGAACAGGACTTTCTGCCCAAAATTTGTGGGCTTAATGCTGTAGAAAAAGCATTGGACTCGAGTTTGATGGGGTCATTTGGGCCTAGTACAAGAAACAAATTTGCAACTAGTAGGTAGTAAGTATGACACATGGGAAGAGTTAGTAAATAATATTATTTTATTATTCTAAAAACTTGTGTATTGTGATACTAAAACTTTCTTAAAATAGGATTTGTTTGGGTAGTAAAAAAAATAATAATAGAAGAGAACACAAGTGGTTGGAAGAAAGTAAAATAGGAAGGAAAAAAGCAATGAATGCTTCTCTCTTAGTAGTGTCTCCATTTTTCGTTAACGTGTATGTGTAACTTGCTGCCAATTTGCAGGACTTCCAAGAAGTCCTGCGACTTCCATAACCGTAGGAGCTGGAGTGCCAACGCTTTTATGCGTTGCTGGGATGTTGTGTTTCATTTTTGGCAGAGTTAAGTCTTATGGTCGGAGGAGGGGCCACTCTATTCCAGAATACACCTCCACCTCCACCTCCACCTCCACCTCCACCTCCATGGTTGCTCCACAGCCCACTGCAGTACGTGGCGGCCTCGATGAGCCCACCATAGAATACTATCAGATAACAGTCCTAGGTGAGAGCCGGCGACTTCCAAAACCAGACCACAACACATGCCCAATATGTTTGTCTGAGTACAGGGCCAAGGAGACGCTAAGAAGCATCCCTCAATGTCAACATTGCTTCCATGCTGCCTGCATCGATGAATGGCTTCGCGTCAATGCTTCGTGTCCGCAATTCTCTCCACCTCTCATCACCGGCTACGGCATTCTAGTGTTTTCATTTGTTTTTTTTTATTTATTCAATCTTTGCATAGGTGGGTGACTGGTCATCTTCTCTTTTGGTCTCAAGATCAAGGGCTTAGTAATGTTATTAGAACTTAAAAACAAATTTAATTTGTTGATCTAATAATAATAAAATATTATGCAACTCAAATTTACTTCCTAAATGAAGGAGGACAATTGAATGAGTGAGTTTTATCAATTTTTTTAAATGGGATCCTATGATTCAGTGATCTCCTTCATTTGAAAATGCAAATTTGGATTTCGTAACATTGTACTTAAACCACATCACTATCAAATCATTAAACTAATACAAGTTATACAACCCTTAATTTTAGTTCATTTTGAAATTCTAGAATTACTAATGTTTAATATTTGGGTTTAATTTAATAATTACGATAATACAAACTAGAATTTAGATTGAAAAAAATGGAATCAACCCAAATTTGATTAAGGCCTTAAACAACACAACTTAAGATAAAATTTGAATTTTGGATGCGAGACCCTAATTTGAGTATTGTTGAAATTTAAATCATATTTGAGATTATTTTGTATCCAATCCAGTCCATTTACTGGAAATGTAGATGGTCAACAGACTGAATTTCGATTGACACAGACGGACACCCTTCTTACTCATTTCCTCGGTTAAAAAGAAAGAAATTAAAAAAGTGTGGCGTGTGGCGCTCCCAGTAGGTCCAGCCTCTGCCACTAGAATATTATCTGGTGGTGCATTCTCATCCACAAAGATCAACCCACAACGCACAATAATATGTACATTGAATCTTCTTAAGAAGACATACAAAGTCTCCTCGAACACACTCTCTCTCTCTCTCTCTCTCGAAATTGTGTGTGGCAAATATGTCATCAGCTGTAGTTGCAGGTGCCTCCTCTTCTTGCTCTGCTGCTTTCACAAGGAACCTCTCCATAAAAACTGCTACAAACCCCTCTCCAAATCCAAAGCCATTATTTATTCCTCCGTGCCAGGTACTTTTTGCCATTTTTAATTCGCCTTGCTCTAGCGTCTCATTCAATAAACCCATTTAGACAAAATGTCACCCTTCTATTCTCTATTTCTTTCCGTGGGCAGAAAACCACATTTCAGGGGCTCTCTCTCCAAGATGCCAAAAGGAGTATCTCAATTTTTTTCGTTGCTGATGACAAGAGTTGCAGTTTTAACATAGTAAGAAGAGGTCTTGAGGTCACATCAAGAACTGCTGGGGCTTCAAAGCAAATTGAGGTTGAGGTTGACAAGCCATTGGGCCTTACTTTAGGTCAAAAGCCTGGTGGTGGAGTGGTCATCACTGTAAGTTATTCGCATAGAATTCGATTGTTTTGAATGAGAAATTCAGAGACAGAATAATTTGGGTGTTTTAACTCTTGAGTAAATTTGATGGTGTTGTTAATGAACACCGATAGTATTAACAGGCTGTAGAGGGTGGTGGGAATGCTGCAAAAGCAGGGCTAAAGTCCGGGGACCAGGTAATGTACACTAGCAGTTTTTTTGGGGATGAACTTTGGCCTGCTGATAAGCTGGGCTTTACCAAAACTGCCATCCAGGCAAAGCCGGACTCTGTCTACTTTGTTGTGAACAGGTTAGCTTCCTCCTCATTGCTTCTAACCCTTTGATATTACTTCTTTTCTTCTTAGCCGTCGCACCATAACTATCTATAACAGGCCCTATCTCGTAACAAAAAAGATAGCATCTTTCTTTAGGTGAATAGATCAAATTCATTGAACCCGAAAGAGCAGAATACAGAACAATGGTATACCCAAACTCCACAATACAAGCAAAAATACAAAGACAACAACTAGCCACCCCTGTTAGGGATGCTGAGGCAAACTAAGGTAGTAATTAGAAGTGGTGAGGTTTTGATCCGCCACTTCAAGCCACGTTTTACAATAACTGAAGACCAAACTTCCATAGAAAAGGCATTGTAAGAACTGGTGTCCATGAGTTGCAATAACAGCCGTAGAGAACTTATGTCAGAGGCTCATTTAGGTGATATTGTTGCACCCTTTCTTCCGAGCATAATCTCTCTCTAACTGCCGACCATCGTACAAGCACATGTATGGGGAATATCTTTTCTGAACCATACAAGTTAAAGTAAGCCCTGGACTGTGTTCCATAATAGTTTGCATACTTGCTTTGATCTTCCTAAACTTCATTATATATCAGTAGCATGAACCATGATTGTGGCACAGTCAAGGTGTTAGAATAGGTGGCTCATATTCAATATATGGAGAGGCCTACCAGGGTCGAGGATAATGGTCAGTTGTCGGAACGTGAACGAATTAGGGTAATAGATTAGGAGAGCTGCACATGCCTTTGAGATTTGCCCTAATTAGGGTTGTAACCTATATAAATTAAGTTGCAACGCCACTTTTAGTGTAGAATAAAAACAAGGCAGCCGCTCTCTCGTAGACATAGGAAGTTGCCGAACCAAGTAAAATTCTTGTGTTCTTTCTTCTAATCAATTCTGTTTCTTTGATTATTCATCGCACACACAAATCACATCACAAGGCATCGTTTATGTCCAGTTCCTTGATAAGCAAGAAGCAAAGATAACATAATTGAACTCTCATTTGCTCTAGATAACCATTTTGATTTCAATGCTTAAACTAACTAGTACCATCATAAGACATGACAGAAAGGTTGCAGATGACTGTATCCTATATGTGGAGTGAGGCAGTAAAATGTGAATATTTCATAGACACCCAACATGATGTTTGTTTATGAGGGATTGTTTTGGAATGGGCCACATTTGTTTTTCATGAATGTGGTCTAGCCAAAAAATCATAAATGTGCTTACTATTTTTTCTTCCAAATTTTCCCCCAACACGCCATTTAACTTCTGTCCAATCTAAAACTTGTCCTGTTGCAGTTGTCGCGTTTAAGACCCACATTCTGAAATTTTAAAGCATTAATGGTTTTACAACATATGTATTTACCCTGGTTAACTTGTAAATACATTCACTTCAAAATTAATTTTAGTAAAGCTGGAATTATATTGATTGGTTGGTGCTATGTGATTTCCTTTACCTGTAACTTATCTTTAAATTGTCATGGATCTATTTGAGCAAATAATAAGCAAAACCCTTTTCTAACATATGATTAGATGCTGCTACACCAAATCTGAAGTGCAAGCTGTTGGAGTTTTTTCAGCAACTCAACAAGCTTTGATCTTTGGCTCTGTGTGTGTGTTTTTCTTTTTCTTTTTTATTTATTTTTTTTTTTTTTGGGGGGGGGGGGGGGGGGGGGGGGGTGTTTGGCTGCTATTATCGGGAGGAAATCTGATATGTAGTATGTTAAGTTCCTGTTATGGTTGTCCAAGTAAGGCGCCAAAGATGATTAGAGATGTGATAGATGTAAGCATTGTAATCTGACTCTGATGTTGTAGTCCACAATGCTAATTTCACATCCCTGTAGGCTGTGATTTAAGATCTACAAGGTTGAGCTGCCAAATTAATTGAAGGAAATAACAGTATTGCAGTTCAAGGAATTCACTGTGTTCAGTTTGCTATTAAGTTTGGTTTAATGCATCTGTGTTCAGCCGGGAGAGAGGTTCTTTATAACTTCATGGCAAGTATATGTATGCACATCAAATACTTTGTATTGGTTTTTCAGTTCTACTCAGAAATGTGACCTAAAAAGGCAACGACTTTTATAGTTATGCCACTGCAGAGTTCTAGGAAGGGATCGAACCTTACTTGTGGCTATGAGGTTTGGTAGCCTGTCTTGTACCACAAAGATAAATTGTATGACTTGGAAAACATTGCCTTCAAAGCGATGACTGTGGTAGTCAAGACAAGCAAATAGAATTGCAGTGTTATGTATGTGAGAAGTTTAATACCTAGAGATGGCATGACTACGTAGATCTCCATCATGCATAAGAATCTTTGGGTATATCCTGTGATGCAGAGGTGCTGATGTAGATGTCAAAAGATTACCCAAGCGTCCAGCTCCTCCTCGCTTTGGGAAAAAGTTGACTGAGGCTCAAAAGGCAAGACTCGTTATGGCATCATAAGCACTTGTTTTGCTGTGATTTATTTTATGCTTTTCCTGGGTATAATTATGAATGTTTTTCACTGTTTTTAGGCTCGAGCAACTCACATATGCCTGGACTGTGGATTCATATACACCTTATCAAAACCTTTTGAGGAGCAGGCAAGCTTTCTTTTCTTTTTTGTTGAACCATTATTCAACATCACAAGCACATTCATCTAGAAAGAGTTTCCTTCTCATGAAAACTGTTTTGTTTTTTTTGGTGGGGGGTTGGAGAATAAGGAGGAGAAAATAAAATTAATTAACATTCAATTATTTGTTTACACCGGAAATTTCCTGTTACTCTTCTGTTCTGCAGCCAGATGAGTACACGTGCCCACAGTGCAGAGCGCCGAAGAAGAGATTCGCAGGATATGATGTTAACACTGGGAAAGCAATTGGTGGGGGACTTCCTCCAATTGGTGTCATTATTGGGCTTATTGCTGGTGTTGGGGGAGTCGGAGCATTGCTCGTTTATGGTCTTCAATGAACAGTTCAAACCTATTGTTCCTTTTGTAATTCTTTCCCCTAAACGGCTTATATTGCATATTTGCATACGGTGTACTAAATCACAAGAGCTAAGAGTCTGAAAACCTCTATTGCACCATGAAATGAATTGTAAAGGTGGACTAGACATTAATACCTACTTCCAGCAATAGATTTATACCAAGGACCATCAAGCGTATCTATTTTGTTTTTTATTTTTTTTTTTAAGTATAGGAGGAGTTAGAGCTCATACCTGTCCTTAAAATATGTCATTTTTCTCTAGTTTGACCTTGGAAATAACAATAATAGAAGCCATTCAAATATAAGAAACATAGAATGACATATAAGATTGTTTAAAGTCAAAAAAACATTGGCATGCAACACCATGAGATAAATATTTTCTTGCTGGTGGTGGTTGTGGTACAAATATTTTTAGGTTCAATTTGAAGAGTAAAGCATACTATACTACAAATATTTTTTAGGGCAACTGAAGAAGGAATATGTACTTTTTCTCTTGTGCCTTTGATTTCTAATAATAAATCCTTGTCAAGGGAAATGAAAAAATAAATATATTTTGGGTAAATTATATTGGCATCCTTGTAGATTGGTCTAATTGCAAAGATATCACCTAAATTTTCTAAAATTACATTGACACCCTATCAGATCTTGTCCATAAACAAAAATAACAAAAAAAAAAAGATTTTCCATAATTACTCTTACTATATATCATTTTTTACTTATCATCCTCTCATATACTTAAACACTAATAAATGGATCATTTTCGAATTCAACCCACCAAATTCAAAACTGACATGATTAACCCATTTTATTTAATCGTGTTGAACTTCATTTCTCTTCTCATTTGTATGTGAACACGAACAACACGAAATTGACATGATTAACATATTTAACTGGTATTATAAAAATAAAATATTAATTATTTGTTATTGTTTATTAAACATTGACATAATTATTGAATAAAAAAGATGTTTTTACTCATTATTATTGCTATGTTTTTTAAGTTAATTTTTAATTTATAGAAAAAATATGAGCATTTATTCAATT